CAAGGCTAAGGAGAGCAGAAACTTGGACTGCCACCACTATACCTTAGAGAGCCCCTGCCCCTTGCCAGGACTTATAACACACCATGAAGCTCACACAAATCCTGGAAAATCCCACCCACTCTGATCTGCCTAGAACAAAAGGAGAGGGAAACAGCACTACGGGATGGTGCTATGAACAGTTTCTAGGCTCCAAAAAGAATTTAGATTGCATAGATAGAAAGCAAAGATAGAAATCACATCACATACTGGGACACTACAACTGCTGATTAACACAAAGCAGCTGTTCTGCTTCATTCTTTAGTCAGGAGACAGTATAGGGCTGCAAGCAAAGCAGAACTTTGTGTCTGGATCCAAAACTCATTTTAGAAATGAGGCATACCTGTCCCTTCACCTGTAAATCCATAGGAAGAAGACAGTTATCCCTTCTGTCTCTGGAAGTTAACTGATTTAATTTTCATCTTCCCCTTTTGTAATTCTGAGATGATCCTTTGGTTGCCCAGAGGGCTGTCCTTTTCTGGAATTTTCTCGTCTCTTTTTTTTCCCTTCCATACATAGGCACATATACACTCAGCATGTTTCTGCTATAGTTACCTGAGTCTTGGAGCTCAAGCTATGGCAGGGCTCATCAGAGAAACAGGAAAGAGGAGATTCACCTATGGGGACCTTGTGCAGCCTGCCAAAATGAATGTAACAGCAACAGACCAGCATAGCAGGAGGTGTTAGCAATGGCTGCAAGACTTGAGAGACTGTGCCACGGATGAACATTACCTGCAAATCTCAAGTGGTCCCAGCTGGAGACCAGCTCTGAAATCTCAACTACTGGTCTCCATCAGAGACAGGACTTCATGGTTCCAAATCACATTCCACTTGGATTTCATATTTCTAGGAAAAGATGTGTTAATTTGCTGTGTCCAGACATATTTTATATACTCCTCCACATGAGCATTCAGTCTCTATTCCAGATCTGAGATTCCCTTACAGAGTTCTTTGTGGCTCTTGAGATGATGGAGATATGACTTTTATTTTACCAGTCCTCTTAGTCATCACTTGAATGCATTCTTATATCCACCTGATAACCACAAATTTGTCACTGGCTACAGACATATTGGTGAGAAATAGTGAACACGTACATAGGTTTATATCTGTGTGAGGTCATTACATCTGATAGATTCTGCTTGAGGGACTTCAGGCATCTCACTTCAGCCTGTGAGATAATGCACAGGAAAAAGCAGCAGCACAATGACACAGCCAGGCTGAACTGTGGCATTTCCTGGTGTTTAGCAGTTAATGTCAGCCTTTGTGTTTGTTTTCCCTTGGATTTATTGTTTGTTTGTGATTTTCTGTTGAGGATAACCTTTCAAAAGCCTAATCCCTTTTGCTTTGAAGCTCTGCTGCTCAGACAATAATTACACAGACACCATGAAATGTTGTTGGTGTTTGACTCTACATTAGTCCAATTCTATCACTTTATTCTACTCTTTCTACTCTCCTGTAACAAAGCTGCCTTTAAAGTAATATATAAGTGAATTGTGAATAACATCTTTCATTACTCCCTGGAATAGCTTTTTTTAAAATTAAATGCTATCCAGTTTGCAATTGGTTTTGGGTTCAGGGAGCTTGCTTTATACTATGCAAGCACAGACTATTTCTTTCAAAATAGCAGCTTTTTTTCCCCCTTAATAACATGCTTTCCAAATGCTCATAGTTATACCCACTAAAATCAATTTGCAAAACAATACAGTGCCCTGCAGTCCAGGAAGAGCTATTTCTGTATCAGTTCCAATCTTCAATTTTTAGCTTTTCTTTTTCTTCAAAATGAGGTACCTTTTCTATTGTAAATTTGTGGCCTTTGCTCCATCCAGTATCACTAGCTGAGCAAATGTTCCTAAATCCTTTCAAAGGCAATTATCTTTCCATGGAAAACTTCCTAGCATTTTAAAAATATTGTCTTTTAATAGCAATTATTAAGGAGTATTTGTGGCTTCAATTTGTTTTTCTTGTATAGATCACATTTTCATGTGATCTACAGAAGAAAAACAAATTGAAGCCAAAAATCTTAGTTTGTTTTCTCACTTTTTCTCTCAGAATAATCCTCCCTCAATCCACAGTCACATCCAGTGCTATGTAAAATCAAAGGCACTTAGACCAGTTTAGGGATATCTTGATTTGGTTTGTGGATGAGTTTTGACAAAAAAGCCTTTACAGAAATTGAAAGCATTGTACTGCAAAGGTTTCTACATTTCAAGCAAACATTTCAAGTTCACTAAGCCCTCTTAAAATGTGCCTTAATTACACAAGAGAGTTGAACATTTGTTGACGTTAGTGCTTCCTCACAAGTTATTTATCAAATAAATCATCTTTTCCCAGGTTTCAATTCATATAACCAAAAAATGCCTTAATCAATTCTGGTATTTTTTCAATCAGTTCTACAATACAACAAAACAATGAATTATCAATGTTTGGATGAATTCTCAAATATTCTGGTACTAAAATCCGTGATCAAAATTACTTAACTATTTAGCACACTTGTTAAAATTAAAAACTAATCATAAATAATATAAACATGGGATAGACAACTATTATACTTCCATGAAAGATGAGCAATGCATAGTTAGATCCAGCTGAATGAATGAATGAAGACAAGAGGGAGGAAAAAAAGATTGTTGGAGGAGTGGGTGCATTTTATCTGCTCTTGCAAATTATTATATGCTTGCATGAGATCAGTCTTTCCAAATTTTCGCAACGTGAAAAGTCCAGAAATATAAAAGGCAGGGCATTTAATCCAATGGATCATGTTATCTTTGTTTAGGACCATTGATCCTGAAGCCACTTCCTCATCAACAAATCCCCTGGAAATATGGAAATTTTTACTTCTTTAAAATAAAGCTTGCTAAACTGAAAAGGAAAAAATGGTCCTATTTTTAAGACTTCCACACAAAGATGTCTTTAAACTTTTCTGCTTGTGGAACAGATCACTATTCACATGAATATCTGGAAACTGCATGCCAAGTTGCAAAATTCTGCCTGGAGAAGAGAGGATTACCAAGAAAAAATAATAAAAAACAAATTTAAAAAAACAGTGAGAATGATTGGCCAAACAACAGTCAGTGAGACGTGATTGCACATCACAAAATAAATGTCTTGAAGTATTAAAAATCAATAACAGCAAATCTCAGAGCAATGGTATGCAATATCTTCTTTCAAAAGAGGAAAATAGTAATAGTTTTTCTTTATCATTCTGCAGCATATTAAATGAGATTTTTTAATAAGCATATGTGTTAATTAGTTCTTATCCACTAGAGAGAAATTAATAGATGCTAATATATTTGTGGCTATTCTCTGGAGTTGTGAAAGAAGCCATTTCTATCATGTAGATATGCCTTTCTCTCTGTTAGAATCTGAATGATCATCTTCTGAAGGTTTTGGAAAAGCAATACTTTGACTGGTAGACTTGATAAATTAACTTCTTTCTAATCACTTTGTAAATCAATCTGATGGAACTATATAATTAGATTTTAAAAAGGATATTCAATGTGTGATATTCAATAATTCAAGAAATTCAACATAGGTTTGAATAAACTAATTCTAATAAAAGACAGCTCCCCAAATAAGCTAGCAATCATGAACATATTTAAGATTCCACTTAGCAAAGAAGTTAAAGAATTCATAATCTTATTACTTGAAATGTCAGTCCAGTTTTAGTAAGACTAAACATGAAAACATGTTAAAGTTTCATGAATCAAAGAACATAAGACTTTTTACTGATGAATCAACAGATAAGTTACTAATATAAATAAATTTCTTCATTATTTAATAACAACATATACATAATGTTTACTACAAAGTCCTTTTAGGCTGAAAAGAAAGCAAGAGTGATGAGACATACCTTACCTAAGCATTAAATTTGTATTTGCTTAAGAATTCAGCAAGAAATTAGTACTTGTACACAAAGAATTTTGCAGCAAGTCTGAGAGCAAGTCACTTCATTATTATCCCACCTACAGCAGCGCTACAATCCCATTTATCGATGGGGGAGTGGCAGCCGGAAATCAGGCGGCTGCAGTGCCAGAGGAGCAGAGTTGCTGAACTCAGTTACTCTTCACCATCCAATTAGTTCTACTGACTGATGCTGACACTGCTGGCACACACCAAGTTAGCAGCTGTTTAATCAGCTTGCCAAAATTGGGTCCTGAACCTCTCAAAACCTGCATTTGAGCAGGATTCAATGCAAAGGTAATAATTTCTGTGCTAGCACACATATCTGTCTTGTTTATTTTGGATATTTTTTCCATTTGCATATTTTCCCACTTAAAAATTCATATGGCAACTTTGTAAGGAGTGTTTCTGATCATGTTTCCTAGGTACACATAGATATAAATCTTCATGCTGCAAATTAAGAATGCAACAACCAAGCTCTGATTATTCCCCAGACCTGGTCAAAGAAACCCGCACCAGCGTGGAACCTCTAGACAGGGAAGCTGATCTCCATAAGGAAAATGCTGCTTGGTCTGAAAGCAGCAGCCCAGAAGATGTCTTCAGTTCCTCTGAGATGCAGACAGTAGCAGTTTTTATGGACACCACCTCGCCTCCTGGGGACTACATTCTCCAACAAGGTTACACAGAGTCTTCACTTCTGAAGCTTCCTGCAGAGGAGTGCAATGGGATCCAACATGCGCCTTTCCAGTTCGACCGCCACGCTCGGGCAAGAATTTCCACTTCTCCAACTTTAAGGCGCCTCAGGATGGCCTCTGCCTCACAAGCACTGTCATTTCAGGACTGTTCTGACACAGCTCAGCTGGGAAATCAAAAGGAATACACTGGCTCTCTCCACCACATTTGTAAGAGTCCGCCTCGGTGCGTTACAATTTCTTCATTATCGCTGCCTTCTTGTGTCCATGCAAAATTATTGTCATCCAAAGCCAAGTCTGAGAGAACAACAGCAGTTCCAGAGTCTGACCTACCCAGATCAAAGCTTCCCAGCAAAGAGAATCCTCTCAGCAATGACAGTCCCAATGAGCCACCCAGAAACTCTTGGAGAGCCAACTCTGCTACGCTTCCTACGAGACTCCCCCGTCCGAGCCCTACAGTGTGGGCAGGCGTCCAGGTAAGAGGAACAGGAGGATGCAACCTCTTTTTCAGTCTTTCATACTCAGTGTCGGTCCATCATGAACCAATGCACAAATAAAACCCCAATTCTTAATCTGAACTGTATGTTGGGTCGTGATCCTCTAATACAGCAGTCCAGCTTTTACACTTGACAGGAAGGGAGATTTTTCTTTCCAGATCAGTAAGAGACAGCAGCTCCAGCCTTTCCTCATGGTGACCAGGCTAGCTTAGTCCACTCCTGTACAGGGCCACTCTTTCCCATCTCTGCCCATTCACTCTGGTGGGCCAGGGTGGTGGATATGGAAGAATAAGACTAAGTAATTGATCCTGTTTAGGATTGGTTTTTAGAAGGCTATTTTCTTTCAACCCTTTACTTTAGCTCTTTAACCCTTCAGCAGGATTATTCCTAAGACAGGGAAGTTTCCTGTCTGTTTTACTGGATGGCATTACTAACCCTAATAAAACCAAGAATTAAGTTGGTTGAGTCAAATTTAAGGTCTGCTGCTACCAAAGGAAGAGGTACAATTCCCTTTATTTATTTCAGCTTACCTAGCTCTGCCACTCAGTGGCCCCCCTCCCTTTTTATGTCCAGCTCCATAAACAAAGAAGCAATTGTGCAATGTCCTCTGAAAAAAAGAAACCCTGGCCCAGTGAGTGTCAGAATTAGTAAAGAGAAATAAGCAAGGGAGGAGCCAGCTCTGCATCTTTCAAGGGCAGGAAACTACAATTCAATTCTCCACAAGGACAAAAGGAGAGGCTTTCTGTACAAGCTAGGTGTACTGTAGATCTGCTCTCAAAGACCTTCTCCTGTGTGCAGAGGCACACATGCTCAGCTCTGTCCTTATGCAAAGCACCCACACACACATTTTCCTGAGGGTGGATGGTGTCAAATAGGTGTAGAGTTCTTCACTAGCCATTAGCTTTGCACTATAAACCAAAAGCTATTTTCCTCCTCCTCCCACCCCCTTCAAATACAGAAAACATTCTGGATGTCAAATCAGTTCTCCTTACTCCACAACAGTGAAATTAATTAGCCTATGCCCAAGCCTATTACACTATTATTAGTACATTTCCCTTTACAAATTAGCTCCTTTTTCACAAAAAGTCAGATTGCTTGCTTGCTTTCTCACCAACTAACTAATAATATTCACTTTCTTTCAGGAGAGTGGACTGCCCATGCAAAGGTATGCACATATTTATTTTATCTGATTCTAAGCTTGACTCTCATACATTTTTAACGAATTTGCTTCACTCTAGGACAAAACTGAACATTGAGTCAAGTATACATAACTCAACCTTAATTTGTAGATTTGCTATGTGAAATGCTTGTCACCAGCTCACTAAACTTTCTAATGAGATTTTCTTTCAAAGGTGGCTGTCTCCCCAGCATGTTTAGCTACATTTCACACAATATTTCATCCGGATCATCGGGGAGCTTTGCACCTGGAACCAGCTGCCAAAAGGTCCGGTCGCTTGGCTTAGCAGGGTCAAACTTCAGCTTGAGGAATGTGAAATATCTCATAATCTTGAGTGACATTCTTCAAAAGTTTGTAGAAGGGAAAAGGGAGCAAAGGAGGTAGGAGAACAGCTCAATATTGTTCTTATACATAAACAAAGAAGATCTAGGACTGCTATTGGAAAGGGGGATTATTAATCCTACAAACTAAGAAGAGTACATAGAATATGTGGATTTTATAAGTTAGGGCAGACAAGACAGAGTATTGTATACCATATACCTGTGCAGTGAATTGTGTCAAGGTCTTCAAAACAATTATCATAAAGTAAAAGTGCTATTAGAAATTATTTTTATTACAATATGTTTCCTTAAGAATTTCAAATATTTACAGAAGGGAAGGAAAGTTTTATTTTCTTCCCACACAACAAGGAAGCAGTAGATAGTTCCTCTATTAATACTGACCCCTCTCTCATTAATGGAGTAGTGCTCACTTTACTGCATGGTCCCCTCAAGGATGTTTGACACTGGGTGGTTTGGAGCAGACTGATAAAGTCTAGGAGTCCTTACACAATGCAGTTCCCTAGAGGAGATTCAGGAGATGTGTGCATGCACTTGAAATTACATGTTCACTGAAGAAGAGACCGCCTGGATATTCTGAACTGGTGCAATTTCCAACCCACCCTTTAGCATTTTGAATTTACAATGGAGATGGGGAGAGAAGGGGAGGGAAACACCTTTATCTGGATGTGAAAACAAGTAATCTATACCTTTTGCAGGAAAAGTCTGGTCTGATCCAACTCAAACAAGGAATACATAAACATATCTCACTGTCAGCGTGAAGATTTTTGTGATATGTAACAAACTTCAGGGGGGAAATTGAAGATACTGAAACCATCTACCAATGGTTTAATAGGAGAACACTGAACATTTAGTGTACACACCTTCTCTTGGTGCTGTTTGCCTATAGTGGCTTCAGGAAGGAAGTAAATACATGCCAGCTAGGGTATTGGCTTTGGACTTCTGTCCAGACACCTTTTAAAATCAAGAAACCACAACCCAAGGAAACAAACCAAGATTTTTCCATAGGCACCAGCTGGAAAAACTGTCAAAAGGTGGTTGGGATGATGTATTATGAATTCTATCTGGATAAATATTAGAATGTGCAAAAATGTATTTTAAAATTCACCAGTTTCTGCTTTAAACATTTTTTGTCAAATCTAATTTGGTCCAAGGTCTGGGTTAAGCCTGTGTTCAGCTCCTCCTTCATTAAGATCATTAGTCTAACTTCTTAACAGCTAATCCCTTCTTATCACAGCCAGCAAAAACTGTTCACATGTCAGATTATTTTCTCCATCTAGAAGCACATTAGGACAGTTGGCACCTCTTCTCCAAGACTGACTTATGTATTGTTGTGGGTAAAATCATGCCTTTGTCCTTCAGTTTTAATGAACATCTCTTCTCCACACTGCCAAGCTGTACTCTCAAAAAAATCTTTAATGCACTCATTTTGAACAGCCTTCTCCCACACAGTCCTCAGTCAAGAATGCCAGCACATCCTGTCAGCATGGCAACTTGCTGAGCTGATGCTGTTTATAAAGAATCATCCAAAATAAATAAACAAAAAGGGCAAGAGGGGCAGCACAGATAGAGATGTATGTGGTGGAGAGAAGATGAGATGCCAAACCAACACTGCCATGGAAGAAAACATAGATAAAACAAAACCTCAAGTTCACTCTGATCCCCTTTTCTCCTTGCACTATTCAGCATTATCAGAGGCTGGGTGGAAAACTGCACTGCACTATTTCCTACAGCAAATCAGCTAATGAAGAGCCTTCACAGTAACTGCCAAGACAGCTCATATTCAATGCCTTGAAAGAGCTGGGCTCATCTATCTTGAAATACTCCCATTCCTCTTTTAATGACTCACACAGCTGTAAAGTGTCACAGCATCACAGAATCACAGAGTGGGGAAGGTTGGGAAGGACCACAGTGGCTTCTCTGTTGCAGCCTCTGTGCTCAAGCAGGGTCATCCTGGAGCACATTGCACAGGATGGCATCAATTACACTAAACCTAACTCCTCATGCCATCACAGAAATAGTTTACTTTTGGCAATAGGTCATGTTCCATGCTAACTTTTTGAACCAGGGAGTCCAAACACCCTCCCTGAGCAGCTTGGGAAACAGTGTCACTGCCTGGCAGTTATCTCAGTACTGTGAGCACCCTATAATATTTACATCAGTAAATATTATCTATAAATTATATTATAAAATTATAAATTATATTATAAAATTATAAATTATATTATAAAATAGATCCTCTGTTGCTTTTATTCACATCTAGTGGATAGTCCTTTAAGTAATTTATCTGCTGTTTAAGTGAGGTGATCTGTATAGATGTCTGTTCCCCGGGATGGCTAGTCAGACTAAGATTAGGGACATATGAACACACTTCCTGTGCCTTAGAAATAAACACATACTCAGGATATTTATTTTGCCAGACCATGATCTGCTTCAATGTCTTTAATAATTTTCTATAACTTTCCCATCTAAATCTATGACATAATCATGTTTTTTAAAAAAAGTGGATTTTAAGAATGGGGAGATATTATCTGTAATAATTCAAATGCCTGAGTTTGTCCCTAAAGCACTCTTTCCTCTTTTATTCCATAACTGCAGTCCTCTATCTCCAATAAGTGAAACAAACAAAAAATAAAGGAAAAGGCAAAGCCACAGAGTCTGAATGCATGAGAAGATGCTAAGATATTTCAGACTTAAAACCTTGTAAATTTAACTACGCAAAACTTCAGTAATTTAATTTCTCCAGGAAAAAAAAATCCAAAACAAAACAAAAACAAAAAAAAAAAAAAGAAAGGAAAACCAGCAGAAGCATAGACCAGGAAACCACAGATACCTGTCCTTCCATCTCTGAAGCATGCTGAAGCATGACTATGTAGTTTGGACATGTAAGCCATTAAGCAGCCCAGGCTCATGGGATTGCAAAGGAAAATTGTAGACAGACACTTGAGTGGTCCTGCCATGCCCCCACAATTCACAGGCTCATGCACCTGTGCAAAGAGCTTGTTTAGCCATGTGTGTGCCTGAAGTTCAAGGCCTTTTTGATCTGGATAAATAATGTCATTTAATTCAGTTATAGGGACTCTGTTCTTCCATTATTAGTCTTCATAAGCCACTAGCCTGCAGCTTCAAATATATTGTGAAAACAGAAGTAGGCTAGATGCTTTAAAAATCAATAATACACTGCCAAATTTTACTGTGAAGCCAACCTGAAGTAAACCTCCTGAATTTCCTGGTACAGTAATAACACCTTTGAGGATTATCCTTGTACTATATTGCAGCACCTGACTTGTATAATAGCCCAGCTGCCCAAAAGATTGCACCATGGAATCACTAGAGGGTTCAGTGGCATCTTAATGCAATCATTACCAACACTGAAGAGTTGCATTGGGTAGCACTCAGTGCACATCTCAGGAAGGCACTCCTGAGAGGAGCACTCCTCTCTCCCCCTTGCAGGGGTATGGGCTTGTAGACAGCCAGGGAACAGACCCCCCACCCATTAAACGATTTCATGAGAAACCACAGAGTTTCATTGTAAACTCTAAAGCCAAATAAATAAATTCCATGTTCTCCATTCAGTAGGACTAGCAAAGAAACTTCCAAAGAACTCCTGCATTGCACAGTGTAAGCTCCTCAAGATGTCGTTTTTAAGCCCTTATATGTCCATGGCTCAAATGTTAAAGTTCTATGCCTGGCCCATCTGATAGACTGCAGACCTCTCTCTTGCTAGGAACAGCTTTCATGTAGACCATTCAATTGTTTAGTTAAGGCAATTGCAAGCAGTGTCACTGTCAGGTCATAAAAAGGCACAATCTCCTTGTCTTACCATACATATCAAATCCCAGTTCTCCACCTCAGAGCTCATCTGTCAGATGATAAGCTGTCAAGTAACTATTCATACACTTAAAGGAAAAAATATACCTGCCAGGTTTCACACCAAGTGTGGCAAGTGGCTAGAAATTCACAGTAAGAGAACTGCCTAGACAAAAAAAGATCTCAGTAAGAATCATGCTTAACTGACCAAAAATACCATGCACAATAAGTGGTGACTGAAAAATAGAATTTTTATAAATGTGCATGTACTTTGTGCCTCCTCCCTCAGATACTGAATTACTGACCCTTTGAGCCCTAATGCAGCATTCATGTACTGAAGGCAGCACAGCAGCAGCTGCAGTCAGCAGTCCCTCTGCAGCACATGCTAACACAATTCATTAGGATCACTGTGATATTAGCAAAATAGAAAAGGTCTTTAACATGCACCAACCAGTTTCTGTATGTGAATGCAAGCAGCCTGTGGCACAAACATGCTGCTGGATACAGAATGCCTGTGCCACTTTTCTTCATGGATCTAGATTCTGGACAATGCTCTCCATTAGGAACAACAATAGTTGGAAAGAGACATTTTTCGATCAGTAGGACCACTGAGTCATGTTACATTCAAAATATTTTAAATAGCAGGAAAAAAATGCCAGAAATACTTAGAAAGAAAATAGTACAAACTAGCCAAAAGGTTAAATAATTTTTTCAAAACCCAACATTTTATCTGCTTCACTAGTGTGCTGTCTTTTCTTGAAATCACCTGAGCTATAGGAAGGCTAAAATTAACAAGACACATATCAGCTAAAAACAGTATTCAATTGTTCCATTAAACTCCACTGCCAAAACATAGATTCTAAAATCCCCACTCACTTTTTGCCTAACCTCAGGAGAAACCAGGAACTTTCAATACTTAAATGCTTTAATTACTCATTATCTGAGCGTGCCATGACCATAAGAACTTTGATCTCAGCAACAATGTGGAATTTGAAAGTAGGTATTTGCTGTCACTGAAATTCTCTGCTCATTGTTTTTTCAGCACATGACGTCATAGCTGCTGTGCTTTGGTATTTTAGCTGATTCCCCCGGCTCAGCAGGAGCTCCTGCAGCCTCCATGGACAGATATGACGCGTGCTGTTGTTGTGTCCCACAGAGCGGCCGAGCGCAGGCGCAGCTCCCTGGTGCTGAGCCTGCCGGGCCTCGAGGTGTTCCCTGGAGACCTGCTGGTGTCAGACAGTGCCATGGACTACCTGCCCTGCTCATCCTTCCTGCTCACTGCAGGTCAGACACAGCGGGGACTGCTCCTCCGAGCCCAGCAAAGTGGGGGTGGAACACGTGTGCACGTGGGATGGGAGGGCAGATGGATACAGTGAGACCCTGAGGTGGTGCAGCCTCTGTGGGGGATCCTGTTACCCCACACCAAACTGACTTCATTGTCTGTTTTAAAATTCCTCTTTTTTTTTTTTTTTTTTTTTTCCCTGCATTTTACTGTTGAATGCAAAATTCAAGTAAATGAGAAGGTAGGACACAGATCACGTTGCACCTCCACAGGCTAGAAGCTACCAGAGCTCAGGCCAGGACCTCCACCTGGAAGCAGCTGAGGTACAATTTCCTACCTCCACAGCTTCAAGCAGAGAGAAAAGCAGCCCATGCTGCCCTTTGCAGTGGTGTTCTGATCACAAGGGCAGCAAACCCAACTCACTGCCAGAGGTTGCTCACAAGACATTCCAAAACTGAAATGCAGACCTGCAAGCAATTTCCACAAATAGCTATTGTAGAATACAGTATGGTGTGATTGACGGAGATCCTGGTGGCCAGAAATCAAAAGTTTCTCAGCAAGCAAGTCAGCCAAGGTCACAACCAGCATTTTCATTACAGCAAATAAGCCAGCCATTCTAAGACTTTCAAAATACAGAAACACAAAGTTTGGACTGTGATTCCCTGACACACACCTGAAGATGGGTGCCACATAAAGAAAACCTTTTCAGATTTCTTGCTGGACACAGAAATTCCCCACAAGTCACCAGTACACTCCTAAATCTAGATCCCCACCTTTCCCTCTGCCTCACCAGGGACCACAAATTAAACTCTGCCTCACTGTGCCAGCCCCATGACAGATCTGAGAATTAGGGCTCATAGGATTATTTATTCACTGGAGATTTAAATACCTGCATAACTCCAACTTATCATGATGAGAAGGCATAGACTAATTCTTGCTTTAAAACAACATCTTCAAAAATTTACTTGAGTTATGATAGTTTTCCCAGATAAAGAATCACATAATGACCGCAGCAATCACACAGTGATCACCTGCAACAAGTAGGAGCATTCAGCACCATCCAAGATCCCACCACAGACAGTCATAGTTCTTGCTGGGAGGAACTCAACAAGCTTATTGGGTTTTAAGTCTGGTGCACAAACTGCCTAAATTCAAGTATTAAATATGAGCCAAATAGAGTATAGTCTATCAAGCTGCATATGTAAAAAAATAGTTTCCTTTTTATCTACTTGTTTCCTTATTGATAACATTTATTTTACCCATCAGAGTCCAAAAAGTCAAGGTGGCCATTTGCCAAAAGAGGAGTCGTGAGTATTACCATTTTGTTTTTCCTTGCACTGACTTGCCTTTTCCCACAACTAACCTGGGTACAAATAGCTTCTTTACTTTCTTGCCCTTGGAGAAAGGCAGCCAGCAGGTGAGCTGAGCTCAGAGGTGTCTCAGCCCTCCCTGGGACTGCCTGCACATTAACCTGCAATGAAGACTGGGCGGCTCCAGTGCAGCCATTGCATGTGATGCACATGAAGACACAGTCAGAGCCACTGCTTCCCTTCCCTGTGGGTGATGGCAGGAGAGGTGTCCTTGGCACAAGCACAGCTCAGTGAATTTTTCCTTGTCTAACACAATTCCTTGTCTTTTCCATTTATGAAAACTTTTACTTACTAAGGTATCTGAATTTCCTTTCTATGTACTGTTCAGCATTCAAAAATTATTTACAAATGTCTTGACAACTTTTTTTCCCTAACCATGTAATTAAGAACAGCCCCTTCTCAGTACTTTTTGAATTTTATCAAAGAATAGTTTGTGCATACAGAACCAATTCAAGTACTCAGGTTTATTTGTTCAAGAACTCCCTCTTCATTTGAGAGTAGTTTCATAGCATTTGAAGGAGCATGTCCTAAACCTAAGCATTCTTAAATTCCATAAAATATTTTAAATCTGCAATAAAAAAACATCTGATATTTAGACAAAAGTGATTTCTAAGACTATTAAATGCCATAAAATTTAATTCATGAAGATTCTTTTGCTGTTACACTGGGTTTAGTGTGCATATATGTTAACTGCATTATATTTTCTGCCCCATTTCAATCTATCTTTCAAAATTAGGGGCTGAACTTAAACATTAAGTTTCAAATATTATAATCAAAGACATATTTCAAAATTGGCATGAGTTTAGTGCCTAAAGTTCAGACAATGGAAATCCATGAAGTGGGAATATACTTCCAGAGAACACATAAAACTTAGGCAAACAAACACCTTATAAGTCTGTGCCCACAGTACTAAATTAGAGTTGATAAAAGATGTTTAAATTTTTTACAAGGCCTGAATAAACAAAGCAGAAACAAAAACAATTTTATTTTTTTTTTATATCACGGTCCTTCACACAAACTCCTGCTGCTCTTTTAACTTTCTCATTTTACAGACACAACTCATTTTACAGACACAACTCGGCAGATGACCAAGGGACCTTTTTCCATATGTAGCTCAAAAAATTAAAAATAAAAGAATAAACACATAAATTTGTATACCTATGACAGGATTGCAACTATGAATCTGTTGTCCCCTATCTCTGACAATGCTAAGGGAAGCAAAACATTTCATTTGTGCTGTCTTCCAAGGGTAGCCCATGCCTGTTACCAATGTCTTACACGTCCAAACCTGAGGCATTTACACACCCCACATCTACAAAGAAACCTGCCATCACTGCCTTATGTCTGTGTAGAAGAGCCTGGAAATACAGAGAAATCACTCCTTCAAGGGCAAACTCCCTAAGGATTAGGGCAAGAGGGGTAAACTTCTTAACAGTCTTTAAAACACTGTATGAATCAAGGGGTTTCTTGTCATTCCACAGGGTAAAGACAAACAGAAGCAAGCATCTGATCTGGAAAGTTGTCTTTCTAGTGTTAAGATCACAGACTGCTGCACAGATGAGCTTTTCTGCTTTAAGGTATTAATACTCAGTATACTGTATCAAGGATACTCAAGGGTGGAAGGAGGAATTTTTTATAAGCTAACATTTTTTAATTCATTAATCTGGATATGAGAGCTTTCTATCAAATTAATGCATAAGTATATGGTATATTTTTGTCAAAATGACAAGTGGAGGGGCAAGTGGGAAACTGAGGGTCAGTGTAGATTAGCAAGGGACCTCAAAATCACCTGGATTTTGCCAAGGATCCAGACTGCCCTAGATCAGGGAGGTGTCCTCTTCAGAAAAACGTCTCAAGGCAACTCTCTCAGCAGCACCTACAGCTGCTAGAAAAGCAGAGGAAAGAATCTACAGCATCAGAGAGATGCCAAATGGGACACAGCCACCCCATTGCTGTGTTCAGAGGCAGCCACATGCAGGTCAGTGCCAACACCAAGGTTTGGCTCCAGAAAAGGCACCAAAGCCTGTCTGCCAGACAAACAAGGCTTCTGGCCCCTAACCACATAACACCATCCCCTCTCTGACCAAATCTTTTGCTTCTCTCAGTAGGCTGTTCCCTGCAGGTCCCCATAGAGAGCTGCTGAGGGCTTCTGCCAGTGCCTAATTTATATATGGACATCTGACTTTGGAGCAGGCCCATAATGTGATCATGGCCACCACAATTTCCAAGTTACTATAAAGACCAGGTCCTTTGGTACCTTGATTTTATCATCCAGAAAATAAGAAGATATCATCCACCCAGGAGCAGCACAACAGATCACATTCCTTAGCATTTGCAAGCTGCCCACTAATTGATGCAACATACCTAAACATAAAGTATCACATTGTGTTGCTTTCAAATTCAGTGAGTTTATATTGTAAGCATTTTAGAGGAGAATGGTGGGGTTTAAAATATTTTAATGGAACTTCTAAGCCTTCAGAAGAAAAATAGCTAAGAGTGGTAGATGAAATTTACACAGTCAATAGGACATAGGTTCCTTTCATAATGCCTGAAGCAACAATTTTTTCTTTCTTCTTCAATCCATAGAGTAAATCTTGGCATGAATTTCTAAATGAGCAACAGACTGAGCAGAAAGATGTCAAGAGCCAGTTAGAAGTGAAAAAAGAAGCAGCAGTGTGGGAACTTTTCACAAGTGAATGCACTTACTTTCTGGATCATTTGTTGGTTCTCAAGATGGTAATGTCAGATTTCACTTTGCAAAAATAATGAAACATTATTTGTTCTGCTGTGATGGACACAAAGCCTCCTCAAACTTCTCATTAGAGGTCTGGGGGGGAATGACTTAAGCACCTGCTTTTCCTCCCACCCTGCCTGCTCATCCTGTTTCCATAGCTCCCTTTTCTGACTTTATGATGGTATCTCTTTTAACATGACTTTTGAGTGATGCAATCTAATGCTTTGCAATTACCATCTGACTGCAGAGCCTTCCAGGATATTCAACTGATATTCCATTCTCTAGCAAACACTGCACTGAAGCCATGATGCAAACACTTATTTCTGTACTGGACTATTCCAATTGCTAATGTTTTTTATTGCTAATAACATTATTGCTAATGTTATTGCAATATAATATTTGTCATTTAACTTCATATAGATCTGGGGCTAGATTATCCTGACTGGAGAATGAAAACCTCAGAATTCAGCAGACCTGTAATTTTAATATTACATGAAAACAAGTATACTGAAAACAATTCCACTCCCAAAAACTCTGTATTACCTCCAATCCAGTGAATTTTAAGAGCTTGAAATATGGACAGCAATATTACAGACTGTTACAAGAATAGCTGCACTATTTATATTCACCACACACCAAAAGTTAATGTATCCATTCAAAAGGAGGGAAGCTTCCACAAACATTTTCTTATCAAGTTTCTCTTACTTGGCACAGACAATTCCTGATTTCTTATTAAGTTGAAGAAAAAGGATTTGTAAATCATTTTCCATGTTACTGGAAAGTTATCCTGGATAATACAATAACTACTGCAAAGTAAAGGAAATAAATAGAGGAGTGGGCTGAATTCCTCCTTGGTGGGGCAGAACAGGAAGGGACAGAAAACGGGATAGCAGGACCAGCTATTGGTTCAAGGCAGGAGAAGAGCATCCTTCTTTCTATACAATTTGTTTAGAAACCTGAAAAGTTTAAAAAGTTGTGAATACTGGGAAGAACGATGATAACAGCAGGCATGCAGGCTCCTTGTGAGTCTGATGCAGGAGCCCACAGAGCAGTCTCAGCCAGCCCTGCATGGCCCATGAATGATTAACTGTTCAGTCCATGCCACCTTCCCAAACTCTCCTGCTAAACAAAGAATCCATTGCATTTGGGTAACCAGTTTTAAAGATACCTGGTTACCCCCAAGTACAGAAATATTCCTTTGATTTTAATGAATCTCCACAGGGAGCTTTTAGACCACCATAAATCCACTTTAAGCTCTCAGGACAACCAGGTCATGGTAACTAAAGAATTACACAAGGCTACACAAACACTCTCACTAGTTATTCAGTCTTGGCACCTGGGGGACAGGTTTTTTCATTAGGCTTTATACACATAAACAAAAAAAATCTACTCTGTAACCTATAAATTTTAAGACTTTTTCAGATTTAGGTCAGATTCAGTACAGCTCAATCAGCTTAAAAAATATAAAATCTTAAACAGCCGATAAATACACACACAGTTTTCACTGAATACAGGCTAATAAAACAATCCAAAGAGATTAAAAACCTCCACAGGACTGCTACTTACCTTAATCCAAGAATATCTTTTTTCCTCAGAGTAACTCTAAACAATTTAGATAGCAGCAGTTGCATGGGGTAGGAAGGAGAGCATTGAGAAAGGTCAGAGAAACCTGTAACTGACTCTGATGTTACTGAGTCCTTCACACAGGGATCTGCAGGGGGCTCATTTGCCCCTCTGCTGCCCAAGGGCACAGCAGGGACACAGCTGCCTCCATGGTAACCACAGAGAAACCCCAGAGACATCATTCATACCCTCTTCTGCACAAAACCCAATATTTAACCTTCAGGCAGATCAGGAAACTTTTCTCACAATGCCATCTTCTGACCTCCCTAAATCAAATAATCCTTTCATTAATTTGAGTTAAAATATTATTTTCAGAGTGGAATAAAAAATTATTAAATTGGCACAAACAGTAATTAACATGGATTTGTTTTGATTTTAAAGATATTTATGAACACTCTAAAATACCTCCAGAGCAATGAATTTCTCTTGGATGTGGATTTGTGGAGACTTTTTGCAAACTTAGAGGAGTTAAACAAGGTGAGTAGAAAAAGAGAACTGTTACTTAGATCAGAAATCAATCAGCCCAGTAAAAGAATACAATAAACCAAAAGCTTCTATTTAGTTTCAATGCTCACATTTGGAACTTTGTTCAAACAATCCACCTTTTCCTCTTTTCTATGTGGTATACCAGTGAGAGTCAAATACCACCAGTGCAAATCATCCTCTTGTATCTCCAGCCAAAGATACATGGCATTTTAAACATGGGGGAGAGCTCTTTTGGCAGTTGTTCCTGAAGCAAACACAAGTTTGAGACTAATTCTCATAAGCAGCGACCTTTTAAAAGGGATGAAGAGAAACTACCCAATCCCTACACCAAAACAGAAAGCATGGCAAAATAACTACATAACAAGGCCTCTTTTGCAAGCAGATGGGCACAAAGACTTTGCTGTCTATTATGCCACTCCAAAAGAGCAAGTTAAAAAAAAATGCTGATCCCCTCTCTCCAGCTGAGGTTTCCCTTGGCTTTCCTTGGTATGTAAGGATCGCTCCCATGTTCATGTGCTACTTACTCTGCACTGTCCAGGAGAGGGAGGCCACAGGGCTTGGCTGTGATGTGCTCCAGCTCTTTGCTGCTTTTGGCCAGTTGCTGGGAGACCATTTTCAGCTCCTGAAAGTTAAAAACCCCTAAGTCAAAAACAGCTTTTACATTTCTTTGGAAACAAACCAATTTTTCTTAGCTTGAGGGCCCTTTTACAGGACACCTCACCCTTCACTGGAAAGAGAACTTTGGAAAGAGCTCTGCAGCTGCCTTAATTGAAAAACTACTCGCAATCAAATCACATGCCCTAAATCAGCTGCTGGGTTCCATTTATTTCACTTAATGTAATTCCCTTGCCTTAGTACTGAATCTCTCTCTTTTTAGCCAAAACAAGAAAACTGGGAAAGGTCTTCAAAGCAGGGACAATTAGCCAGAACTTAAACACGTGAGCAAGGTACTGCTGCTCAGTCACAGACCTCACACCTGGTGAGCTGCTGAATGACCAATCAGTAGGTTTGGAGATACAAGGAAAAAGATTTTTAGCTGACAGGTTTCACCTTTGGCTCACTGTGATTAAGATTGTACATGTAGATAACTGCTAGAGTTCAGCAGATGTGTGGCTGTTGATTGCCTTGTTCTTGTTCAAGGAAGAGAGTGGGATATATCACTGTTTTTCACTTAGCTTTGAGCTTGGCTGGAGCTTGGTCATGTCTTGAGAGAATTATCTTAAAGAAATGTCCTGCTTTAATTTCTAATTTTGTTTTCCTTATTGAGGAGGATAATAAATGACCATCTGTTATGCATACTTTAAATAAATGATTAAACATAGGAGAATGCTCTCAATGCCTTTAGTGCCTTTTTTTTTTTACAGTATGCATATCCTCTTGACAGCAGGCTGAATCCATGAAAAAATGCATGCTGTAAAATTGTAAAGGTCAAAATTAAAGAATGAGCATCATCCTATAAGCATCCTTGTCCCCATAAATCACCAAACAAAGCAGTCTGCAGCTACTACAGCCTGTAGCAGTATCCCAGCAGATTGAGGTGCCCGTCTGGCCTAACATTTGGCCAACAGCTTAGCCCAGTCATGAATTTGTGTGAGAACTGTGTGAATAGTGAAACTTGTGTGCTCAGGATGAAGGTGTGGGCTTAAGAGCAGGCTTGCAGCCCCATCTGACTGATAAGGTAGGCATTTTGAAATCCGTATAAACATGTAAAAGTAACTTATGGGGAATATGATTTTATTTCATTCAATTGGAGGTGAAGGAAGTATCTATAAAATACTACAAAAACTCACATATTTGAAATCATGAAAATCATGATGGTGTCTTCCTCATGTACTGTGAAGGCTTCCTTAACTGTCACAACTCTGCCACACACCATCACTGTTTTCCAGCAGATGCCATTCATCCACTGTCATTTTTATGTCAATCCATGTTAAATACAGCTGCTACCCTAAAACAAATTTAATGGACTAACTAATCTTGTTTCAAAGCTTCTGTCATCAGGCATTTTCACAAAATAAGTGGGTCTTTATATAGATTTTTCTTAGCTTCTGACTAGTTCAAGCATTCTGGGCATATTTCTGAAGACAATTCTGGCAATGGTAGAGATAGGTATTGGCACCCATTAAGCTTGGAGCATTTAGAGAGGCCAGGGATGGAAAATAAAGCTGTTTAATCTTAACTTCATATCACTGATGCTAATTTATTTTTATTTTCTTCCCCTTACTTAGATAAGTCTCAGTTTTCTGAAAACATTTTTTGAAACTGTGAAGAAGCACATCAGCAAGTCAGACTCTCCTATGGATTTCAACCCCATACTCAGAATGGTAATATAATTAGAAGTATTCTTGCTTTTAACACAAGTAACAGACCATTTATCAGGGCATACATATCACATACATGCCACAGCTCCAGAGCAATTAGGTCTGTCCAGCCCATGCCATCTGTAACCAGCAGTTTGGTCTCAGCCTCAGGTTGTTCCTATTAGAAGGATGTTTATATTTCTATTCATTGGCATGTTTGAAGCAGTCATGGAAAGGTGCTCTGTATGTGGAATCAAGTGTGGAAAGATTTTCCCTTCCTGGGGAACAGCAGCCCAGACTCTGAGGAGATTTTTCCACTGTCAGAGGCAAGCTTCCCACCCTGTGGAAGATGTTTCCCTGAAACCAGACCCCAGTCCCATCACTGCCTCCTTCCACCCCACACCAATCCTCCTTTACTCCACTGACCAGACCCACAAGTGTTTATAATTGCTTAATTAAGAGCTCATGGACACTGAAATTACACTTTGGCCTGTGTCTGTTAAGCAAGAGAGAGATGCAGCCACAGCTGTCCTGCCACTGCCAAGCCCTACCTACCCTGCAACCCTCTTGGTCAGTCTGTGTGGGAAACAAGGCATTTCTCTGAACAGCAGTCTGCAGGAGCTCTAATTCCTGCTCAACTTCCCAGTGCCTGTAAAGCTGGAAATACTAGTCAAGATAGAAAATCAATTGATTGACAGAACCTTCCCTAGCAGTAGAGGCCATTAGAAAACTTCTGGGAAATACCAGAAGACCCTACCTTAGTGTTAAGGTTTTTAATGGACACGTTCAGGCTAGAGCTTGGTTTCTTGCCCCTGTGAGCTCTGACTCCAGGTGCTCTTATTGATAATGTTTGTGTAGACAGACAAAATCCCAGACAAAGCTGCATTTCATCATGCATGACATTCAACATCTTCAATGTAAATGAGGCTATCTTGTTATTTAGAAATAACATGCTCAGATATGATGCCATGCTACACAAAGTCATCAAAGCTGTTTCAGAAATAGTGGGTTTCATTTTCAACTTCCATATGAATTTCACATCATTTATTTCTAATGAGAACAAAGTCTAAGAATGTGCACACCTCTGTAGATCTGTTAAAACTGTACTCCTATACATTACTAAAGCATTGTTGTGGCATTTTTACTACTTTACAGTTTTATTGCTGTTTAAACTGCCCTTTTTTAATTACCTCTTTTCCCATTTTCGTAGGTACAGGGAAATCACATATAAAATGCACATTACAACACCAAAACTCCTGTTTCTCCCTTTGTCATTTTTCTTTCTTGATAAATTTCCAAACCTTTTCTGCAGTTTTTCCAGGGTGACCTCTGTCAGACACACCAGATTTATTGCCTTAATTATACCTCTGCTGTTTTCTACTTGGAAAAGCTGAGACAGAGAGAAGATTTTGGCATCTACCTGAAGGTAAAGTGATGGTTTTATTGTTACTGCTGTTCGTGTTGTTGTTGTCTTCAGCCTTCCTACCTTATGACGGGATTTTAACAGCAAACTAGGAATGTTTAGTAGAATCAAAACTGTGTAGACAGCATTTCACATGGATTTTTTTGAACTGCAGAGCCTATCACTGATTGGAAGTCACCCTTCTGAGTGTATGTTCACCCACATGTGTGAAGGTCCCTACCTGTAATTTAGAACAGATAAGGGGGGAAGAGCTGGGCTGCCTTTTTGCAGGCAGAAAATACAAACTACTAGCCTCTTCCATGTGTTTTGCACATAATCTCTTGACTCAATCACCTCCACCTTAACAAAGTGAAATGGTTACAAGAAAAAAAAACTAACACAAAAATCAATTTCAAATGTCTTACTTTGGCAAAAGATCTGTAAGGGAGAATTTACCTCCCTCTAAGGCTGGAAAGAGCAATCACTGGACTCTTTATCAAGTTGCAGCGCTACAACAGGTTTTGTCTTTGCTGAGACCAGCAGTGCAGGGGTGGGGATCTCAGGCTCTGCTCTTTCTGACATCACTAGCAGACCAGTGTGTCCTGTAAATACTTAAGATTAATCTTCAATATTACAGGTTTAGAAAGAGAAACCTAAAGCAGTGGGCTTTTCTCACAGGCGGCCCAAAACTGGAAGGACATCTTTTTGTGGCAGGCAAGTTCTGCAGCTTGGGCCTTGAGGTTTCACAATCCATACATTCACATACAGGAAAAATGTTCCCCACTGGCAAGTAGCAGTGACCCCAAAATATAAGGTGACTTTCAAACCTAGCTCAGGTTAATTTCCTCAGGAAGACCTGAGAAAATTAAAACAGCAGATAAATAAGAGCCTTACTGGATATGACAGCATGGCCACAGCATCTGGAATGCTAAGCAGCAATGCAGAAACTGAATCTGGAGAGGCAATGCAACTTCCCCTGTGGAGAGCTGTCCTTGGTTTGGCTGGGATAATGTTAATTTTGTTCCTAGTAGCTGGTGTAATGTTGTGGTTTGCGTTTAAGATGAGAGTAATCCTGATAACACACTGATGTTTACTTGTTGCTAGGCAGTTTGCATTAAATCAAGGACTTTTCTGTCTCTCACCACCACCAGCAAGGACTCTGGTGGGCACAAGATGTTGGGAGGGGACACAGCCACAGCAGGTGACCCCAAGTGACCCAAGGGGTATTCCATGCCATATGGTGTCATGCTCAGTACATAAACTGGAGGGAAAGCTGGCTGGAGGGGCCTCTGCTCTGTGACTGGCTGGGCATGGACCAGTGGGTGGTGAGCATTGTGCAGCACTTGATTTGTATATTCTGTTATTTTTTTCCCTTCTGTTTCCATTCTATTAAACTTCCTTTATCTCAAACTACAAACTTTATTTTTTATTTCCCATTTCTCTTCCCCATCCCACAGGAAGGAGTGAAGACTGAATGAGTGGCTGTGTGGTTTAGATACTTGCTGGGTTAAACTATGACAAGAAACTTTATAGTGCCCTTGTTCTTACTGAGAAACTCATCTTTCATTAGTCCCTGTCTCGTTACAATCAGCTAATGATGCAGAAAACTGTTAGCTACCTCCTAGCCAGAAGGAAGCTGAAGCCTAAGGCACATTTTCCTTGTCTTCAGCAGTGGTGTGAACAAAATGAACAGTGCAAGAGGTTGCATCTGCCAGAGCTGCTGGTTGCTCCTCTGCATCGACTGACGCGGTATCCCCTCCTCCTCAACAACATCTGGAAGAGAAGCACTGATGAAACAGAGAAAAGTTTTATCCAGTCACTTAAAGAGAAGGTGGAAAAGTCTATAAGTAAGTAACAAAGGTTAGAAGTCACGTATGCAGCTAGAAATTAGAAAGTTACATGGCTTTTTTGTGCCTGTCCTTTGAAGCGTGAATTGGTAAAGCGTCTCTGCAGAAAAGCAGCAAGGATGTGTATACCTTCCTACAATCCTGACCCTCATTCTGTATGGAATGATTTGGGCCACCTTGTGCTGTCAAAGCCTCTCTGAGCAATGTCACAGGACTCCCAAATCAGTGAGTCACCTCTATTTTCTTAGAATCATCTGCAGGGACAGGCAACAAATTAAAAGCAGATCTCAAATTGGACCATATCAAGAAAGATCCCAAACAAAGAAGTCTTTCAGTTGGATTTATGTCTAAGGAGGATTTTTTTTAGGGCTGATCCTTAATAGGATAAATTTTCTCTCACAAGGGAAATATTATGTCCATGACCTTTCACTAATGACAGGTCCTACTGTGTGAAGTTGTCTCAGCTACAGATTATTATTTATTGTATAAAACAAGAGGCTGGTCCAGATATTAATTTTTTTCCTGAATTTTTTAAAATATATAATATTTCTATATTTAACATATATAAGAACAGCAGTTTTAGATGTGGCCCCAAAAGACCATGAGATGTCTGGAGAGTATTACTGGCAGAATAAATAGGTCCTTCCAGAAATTAGACACCTCTGGATGAAGGAAACCAAAGACAGAAGGGTGACCCCTCTTTACTCACAGACACCTGACAAGTTTTGATCAGTGAACCAGTAACATAATAAACAGTTGTAGTTCAAGCACTCCCCTTCTGGTGGGGAGGTATGTGAAAACCATTATCTGAAACCATTATCTGCAATATCACTCCACCCAAAGACTTGAAATTTCAGTTGCAGGTCCATTAAAGCTTTGGCCATAATGGCTTTGAATCAGCAAAGACACAGTCCCCATTTTTCACATTCTGAGGGACCCCCACGTCAATCACTTCTGGCAACACTTCCTCTGAAATTAATTCTCATTAATTTCAACAGTCTTTTTATCAGGCTCTATATAATGAAAAATGTTTTTCTTTCGCTATACCAGACAGTTTAGGATGACAAGACTTTTTTTTTAAGACATTTTTAAGATTACAGTTTAATTGAGTTTTATATGATTTCCCATTCCCCAGACAGATTAGTAAACACAATCTTTTCATTTAGCAGTGAATTTAAGCATCTTTGAATGCATGAATTGAAATTGTGTCCTTGCTGATCTAAGCAGAGTTTAGGCATTTTTTACAATGAGATCAAGATTTCATCTGGGGCCTCACATGTGAGGTACTTCAGCTTTCACAGGAGAAAATTGGTATTCAGCATCTTCTAGAAGCAGGACTGGCCCTGAGAGTAACTGGTGTTTCACACATTCCAGGGGATCTGGAAGGAAAAGTCAAGTGGTTGGATAACTTTCAGAAGTTCAGGCAGCTGCAAGAGGTCATAATTTGGCCTCAGGTCTGGGATCGTGACAAAAGGTTCTTTATTCCAGAGGTAAGCAAATTTTAAAAGAGGTTTGGGTTTGTTTTTCTAGAGGAGGGTTTAGTTTCCTGTCTGTGTCTTCTTGGTGTGGTCTAAAGCTGGCTGGTTGTCTGTATTCTAGCTAGTGGGGATGGCTCTGCTCTAACAGGGGCAGCTGCAGCCTGGGCACTGCAAGCGCTGTAGCTGAACACCCACAGTGCCTTGGATGGCAGCACGGGTTGCTCTCAACATCCAGGAGAGGGCAATGATACAGTCCAGGGGGACTCTACCATATTTGCTTTTAGGGGACAGAAGGAAACGGGATAGTATTACCAGCATTCAATAAAGTAGAAATGATTTGCCTCTTTCACTTCTCAAGCTGAGCCAAAGAACTTCCCATTTACACTTAAAAAGCATTACAAAAAATCACACAGCATACCTGGGTGTGCACATTTTTGTCGTACCTACCCAGACAGATTTTAAGCAGCACTATGGTAAAATCACCAAGTGGGCCCCACCTCAAGGATTATGTCTGTTCACATACAGGGCTGCAAACACCATTAAACTCAATTTGGAAAAGTAAAACCCAGCTTAACATTTCAAAAGCATAAAGACATTTAAGCAATAGCACTGTTGAAGAAACCCAGGCATGCTCAGTTATCAGCTGTGTGATGTACTTAGCCTGAGGTAAAAACATACAAATGCTCATCTTGTTTAGCTGCTGGTTGCTTCCCTGTTCATCATCCATTATGCATGATTCCCCCATTCTCTTTCTCTCTCTCTTTTTTTGGGTCAAGTGTTTGAAGCAAAACTTAAGAGAAAACAGCAGTGAAAATATTTTGTCTTCAGCGAACAGACTTCTCCTTCATGAAGGGAAGCTGATGCTAGCAGGTAAAGTCCCTGATCTCCTGGTGTCCAGAGATAGCTTATCAGAATTATACATTGTTATGGCAGATCTAGAATGAACCTCTGCAACAGCATTTGGGCAGGGGCAGGAAGGTAAAAGCAACCACATAGTTTATCAGAGAGAGACTGAGATACAGCCAAGCTGCCAATAGGATGATAGTCTGTATGATTGTTTATTGTCCTTTTTCCTGGCAAGCAAGGAATTGTTATATCAGAATGAGGTAGCTGCTACAAGGTACAAATTTAGTAGCCAAAATGACTGAGACTATGATTTAGTGCAAGGCTTCTTTGTTAAAAGCATTCTGTAAGGTGCAGTGATTCATAGATGTACCTCATCTTTGAAGTAGCAATTCCTTAAAATAATCACACCATAAAACTGATTTTTTGTTTTTCTTCTCAGAAAGCACAAGGCTCCTTGATGTCTACCTCTTTTTATTTGATGATTTCCTACTAATTACCAAAATTAAACGTAACAAAAAGGTAATAATGTCTAGAGATATACATGGTTGCAGTTGTTACATTTTTTTAACTTTATGGCTTTTGAATGTACTTTGCAAGATTGATCTAATTATAAAAATACAAGATGACTAATCAGCATGAAGAACAGCTGATACTTCCTTATGTGACTAGCAAACCATAACACTGATTCAAAAGCCTGCTTCTAGGCTCAGCATGGTACAGGAACACTATTACTGGCAGAATTTACATTACAAGATCTTAATATCTTCCTGACGTTGTTCTGATGAGTTGGATTCCTAAAGCTCAGAAAAGTTTCAGGAATGTAAGACTTTTTATAATGGTCCCTGAAACCTGAGAATTTTTTATCCCAGAGATATCAGAACTGTTGGAAAGAAGAAAAAAAAAACTTAAAGGAAAAAACAGGGAAAAGCAAAAATGATATAAGATTGGCTGTACTGCTTGTTGTCCTCTCTTTGCCTTGATTTCCCCAAGTTTGAAATATAATTACTCAGTTTAAGAAAAGGTTTCTTGATGAATGATTATGCCATAGAGTTCTATAGATGATAAATATCTCTATTTAGACACCAACAGAAGAACTGGACAACATGAAATTCCTAAAGCTCCAGTGTAGGAGTGCATTTAACTAATTAAGTTTATGCAACTGATGTAAACTGAGGCTAAATGAACCTGTGATGATCTCCCAGGTTTTGGGGTTTTTTTTAAAGAAGCAGGTGTTCTGCTTTAGAGAGAAAGGAGATAAAGAAAGGATGCAGTGAGAGGTTTTAGACTTGCAGCACCATCCCTTAGCAACGAGGTTGGTGAGGGAAGCAGAAATTCAAGGGACCTGGTACCCTTAGGCAAATCTCTTTGAGGGCTGTCCCACAGACATGTGTTGGAGAACCTTCTGTGAAGGGCTGCAACTCATCTGGAGCTCCAGGGAATCTGTCCTGTGCATATGCATGAGGAAAGATAAGGAAACTTACCCCCAAGGAAAGGAGAAAAAAATCTGCTATTAAAATAAGGAGGGAAAGGGGGAAAATACTTTTGGAATGCCTATGACTGTCTTCTCCTTGTGGACTTGTATTGTGTTTCTTTTTTAGCTTTTTAATGCAAAGTGTGACCTTGCAGGAGAGCTCCAGGTACTACTCAGTTTTTCCAAGATTCCTCAGGCAAATAAGATCTCTGTGTATACCTGATAAGAGAAAGCACATAATTTAGAGTTGTTTAGTGCCTATACCTCATGAGCAGATGGCAGACAACCTGCTAACCAACTTCATTTCTATTCCCAGAAATATGGAGGCTCAGACACCAGCTTAATCCCCGTCTGTCCTTCCCTCACTCCTGAGCTGCAGTCCTTCATAAGAGAGGGGGGATTTTGCACAGTCCTAGACCAGCCCATCCCACTAGACAGACTCATACTGAAAAATGTTGAACCCATCCAAGTTACAGGTAAGTGCCTGCATGCACACCATGTCTGTTATGAATGCCTTCATAAACACCATGTCAATGCACTGTGTGTGTGGCAGCATAAGGACAAGCTGCTGTTTGCCCACAAACCACCCCCAGACGCCTGGAGTGCAAACACTGGTGCCTCAGCCCTGCTTGGCTTCACAGCTCTGCTCCTGCTGGGAAGCATGAGCTGCTGCCTCAGACTCCACAGCCCGCAGCCCCTGCTGCCAGCAGTGACTCACACACACCAGTGGCTGTCACATACTATTCATTCACCCCAAAGGAGGCAGCAAGACTCCAATGACTTCTTTCTCACAAGCCAAGTGTTCCCCTGTCCTAACTGCCCTAACATGGTCTCTCAAACCCCAAATCTTTCAGTTCACCCCAAGAACATTTTCAGTCCCATACTAGCTTTGCAGCATTTTTCACCTGCACCACCACATTGTTCTCCCAGATATCCTCCCACATAACACAGCAGCCATTCTCAAGGAGGCTGGAGAGGAGATTTAGCTCCTGCTACTGCTCCTACTCACATCTCCACCAGCTCCTGAGAGGATGGAAATCACCCCGCACACATCAATTCTTCCTCGCTCTCAGACATCCAAATGCATCACCAGGGAATACTCCTCCAATCCCTGCTGCTGTGCAGTTGAGTGTGGAGTGAAGGAGGGCTGACTGCCACAGAGAGTGACCTGCCTTACCCTGCCAAAACAAGGTTCCTGAAGTCACCAAAATCAGATTTTGGGTCAGGGAGCAGGCATGCACCATCAGGCCTCCCCTTGGTCTGAGCCTGTGATGCAGCAGGCTCCCACACAACTCACCCTGGTGGTGAATGATGCCACATCCCCTTGGTGGCCAGTCACTAGTGATGCTCCCCAGGGCTCAGTATTGGTGCTGGTCCTGTTTAACACTTTCTTAAAAGATGTGGATGAGGGGAGAGAGGGAAGCTTTAAGCCATACATGGCATTAATTTGGGTGGGAGTGTTGATCCAGTGGGAGGTAGGACGGCTCTGCAGAGGGATCTAGACAGGCTGCATCAATGGGCTGAGGCCAAGTGCAGGAGATTCAGTAAGGTGAAGTGCTGTGTGCTGCACTTCAGTCACAACACCACCAGGCAGCATTATGAGCCTGGGCTGGAAAGCAGCCCAGAGAAAAAGGACCTGGGGTGCTGGTTGAAGCCAGCTGAACATGAGCCAGTGTGTGCCCAGGTGGCCAAGCAGCCCAATGGCATCCTGGCCAGTATGAACAATAATGTGACCAGCAGGACCAGGGAAGAGATCTGTACTCGGCACTGGTGAGACCACAGCTCAGATTCTGTGTCCAGTTCCAGGCCACTCTCTACAAAAAGTACATCCTGAGTGTGTCCAGAGAGAAGTGAAACTTGGGAAGGGTCTCAAGAGTAAGTCCTAAAAGGAGTGGCTGAGGAATCTGGGGATGTTTAGTGTGGAGAAAAGGGGTGATATCATCACTCCCTACAACCACCTGAAAAGAGGCTGTAGCCAGGTGGGAGATGGCCTCTACTCCCAGGCAAGCAGCGATGGCACAAAAGGAAATGGCCTTAAGCTGCACCAGGAGAGGTTCAGGATGGACACCAGAATATTTTCACAGAATGGGTGGTTAAGGATTGGAACAGGCTGCCCAGGGAGGTGGTGGAGTCAGCCCCCCTGGAAGTGTTCAAGAAATGACTGGAGGTGGCACTTAGGGCTGTGGTCTAGCTGACATGATGGTTCAGTCAAAGGTTGGACTCAATGATTTTGGAGGTCTTTTCCAGCCTTAAGGATTCAGTGATTCAGTCTAACACTGCCAAGATCACAGAAGCCTCTTATATCAAAGAGAATGAAAAGAAATACAAATCTCTGGGCTCCAGGGTCGTCCTAATCTTAAAGATCGAAAAGAAAAGCTTAGGGAGCTACAGTGCTCTGTGAGAAAGCAACAGATAAGGAAAATAAACCTAGAGTCTGTAAAATTTACGATAACTTTGAAATACATTCACCCAGACTATTTAGCATTCAGCATCAATGCTGAGAGGATATAAAGGTAGGCAATAAAAGGCAAATTACTAAAGACAAGATAAGGGGATGAACACAAAGAATAATAACCTTTTTTTAAAACATGTTCCAGGCACTGTCTGCCTGCCTAATTAGCTCCCCTACCAAACCAGTAGAAATGGAGCAAAAGTACCAGCCACCTCTTGCCTGCAGGCTGGAGGGGAGGGCAGCCCCACATCCCATGTAAGCCCAGGCTGAATGCAAATGCAAGGCCAACAGTTCCTTGGGTGCTGGAGAAGGCACTGCAGTCACCCTCCAGTTTGCACCTAATAGATTGGCCATAAAAACCATAATGGAGATGGAAATAATATTTCTGGATTTTTTTTTCCAAGCCAGCATTTCCCATAGAGATTCCTAACCAGGGTCTTTCTATCTCTGTGATCCAGCTGCAATCATCAGAATAGAAAAAGCTGCCTTTGGCATTCCAGCCTAGGCTCTGTCCACTGGCTATGACCCTTCCCTGCACCCTTGGCCTCATTGCTTGACTTCTCTCCCATATATTCTTACCAGCTTTACTAGAGCTATAGCCATGGCAGTCTCTGTTACTCACTTGCAGTCTCATAAGACCTTGGAAGCCCATCCTAAGACAGGACCCCTTGGAGTGAGGTACAATAAAAACAGTGAGGAAAATTACTGTAGGGAGATTGCAGTTTGGATTCCCACCATTCTTTGTAAAACAACAAGCAAACATTCCAATGTCAACAGAAAATATCCCATTGCAGGAGAAAGAAAAATATTTAATATTGTCTGGAATGTGTGACCTTGGGGAATGTTGCCAATTTATCTGCACTCTCAAAGAGACTTTTATTACTGGTGGCACTAAAAGATTAGTTAGCATGTTCTCAGAAAGGTCATATGATCCATCACATTAATCAAAAATGAAATCCTGATTTTTGATCTAGCAAGTACTTTTGCTTCTGTTAGTTTGCTGAGGGTTGACATCACTTTGAAAATAAACAAAGCTCAATGCAAGTACTAGAAAAAAAATATATGTTGCAATATCCTACAAATATCCTTTTGGCAGCAGGCTGATAATTCTTTTCCAAAGCCTTCTATGCATTAGTGAAGGAATAGAAGATAAAATGGTGAGTTCATAACACCAGGAAGGTATCCTTAAAGGAGAACTACCTGCAAACACCATGACAAGAGATATAACTTTACATGTAAATACACCAGCAGGAACCCAGCTCTGAAGGTTGTAAGCAGCAACATTCTTTCTGATTAAGCTCCCCCTTTATTCCAGATGTGTGACATTGGGGTCACTTTGTCCCCTTGCAGAGAAATGCACGACATGATGCTCACAGTCACCCTCATGAACAAAAGTGTGGCAGGGAACAGAGGCACTATGCCTGGGCATCCCCAGGAGCACCAGCTCAGGCACACACCCAAGAAGAACCCAAAGACAGCACCACCCACTTCCCCATGTACCAGGCATCATACAGACTTACTTAAATAAAATAAGACTTCTATTTTTGATTTTTGATATTTGTTTTTCTTTAACTTCAGTTATGATTTAGGCCACTTTGAAGGGAAATATTTCTTAATGATCCTCAGGTAGACTCAAAAGCATCTTAGCTGCACAATGATGAAGCAATTAAAATTTAAAAAATGCAAGTAGAATTTACATTTTGAAATAAGAAAGCTTCCTACACAACAAAATTAACTCACTCTATGAGGGTGCAATTGCCCTTTTAGAAATAAAAAAAGGTGTTTACATATATAATTTCTTTGATCATAAACAATGGGATAGAAACTGGGACTGACAGTTGTATGAGGTGCATTTATATGCCTTTTTTACATTTTTCCACAGTCTTCAGCCTGCGAAATGCTTTTCTAATTCAGCATGAGAACAGGTATCGGCAGTGCATAGCACTCTTCTTGCTACAAGCTCAGACAGAGACTGCCAAGGTAGGTAACACATCTTTTTTTTCTTCTCTAATTACCCAACTATGTTTTCCCTAAAGAAGGTTGGCCACCTAAAAGTGGTCATGCTGTGATAAGAATCTCTTACAGTTGTGACACTTGACCAAAACTAAAACAAAACAAAATAACACCCCAGTGCACTGGCTCACATATTTGTTACAGAATTTTTGCTGCTGAACATGTTCCAGTTTTCTATCAGGGTGGTTAGCAGGGCATATTCTTGTTGAAAAACATTATCAATTCTGATTGCAAAAAAAAATAAATATCCATTTCTTGTGTCACAGAAGATGGTCAGCCCCTCCAGAGCAGTCAACACCAAAACAACCCTCCCTACATCCAACTCACATGCAGTAGTACTCAGATCAGAAAACTGTCTCATGCTCATCTATTCAAAACATGCATTTTGCCATTTCAGACTGAACAGATGGTATGATTAATTCCACTGTTACATAAATTTACCTCTCATTTTCACACCATGTCACATTACTAGTAACAGCAGTGTGCATAACATCTGAAAGTGTGTCAGGCCCTTCACAGTATTTTGCTTTCTCATGTAAGTTGAATTTCCTTCTCTAATAGCTAATGCACAGAAATTTGACCACCACAAATACTAATTCTTACAAGTAAATGGTGGTAGACTTGTTCTAAAAGAAACACTGAGTGGATTCTTTCTGTTTTCTAGTCACTGGCTGGTACTTGGAATAGCTATCCACTCAAGAAGTCATTACTTTCTCCTGTTACTAAAATACGACCTTCCTTTTCCAAAACTGCCTTCATACCAGGGCTACCATCTTCTCATAGAATGACAGAATAGTTTGGGTTGAAAGGGCCCTTTAAAGGTTTTAGTATAAAGGATAAATCCTCTTAGGGTTAGTCCAATGTCTAATCATAGCAATTCAGAGACAACTCAACTTCTGTCACCAGACTATCTGGAGAGAAGGAAGCTACATATTTGAAATTATCTCTACATCACTCCCTGTCCTCATACCTGGATGACAGCAAACATAGACCTGAATGCTGTCAGCGTGATAACAGAAACTGAAATTCAGTTGGCAGCACATGGCAGATCTTGGAGGGGACAGAACTTGTGATGCTGATAGAACGGGAGCTGTTGTAATCAAAAAAATGAGGAGCCCAACTGCAGGGACAGCATTAAGCTGATGAATAAACATCACAAGAAAGGGGTGAAATAGCCTGTAACAAACTTCACCATTACAAACAGAGCATTAAAATCCTAACTTCCGACCAAAAATGGAAACATTGGCTGGAAATTCCTGGCCTCAGTCACAGATTCCAGCAGCATGTAGTGGCCTGAACAACTGGGAGAGTCTCGGTGTGGGATAATTCATGTTTCCTTCAGCAGTTATGAGCACAAGCCTGAAGAGAGGCTAAATAAAACTAAAGGCTCTGGATGTTTATGCATCTAACTTACTGGAAAATTTTTAGGTTGTCTTGGTTTACAAATACTTTTTCTTGTTACAGAAAGCATGGATGTCACAGATAGAAACAGCAATCTCCAATTACACCACACAACATGAAACCAAGAAAAGAACTGCCTTCTGCTTCCCTGTTGAATCCTCTGAAATTTAATAATGTCAGCATTGCACTGATAGAGCCAGTGGAAGATTATTGTGGTGATAATATAGTTATTTTATAATATAAATACAATGCCTTAGGTCTCTGAAGCTAACAAATTTCTGACATGACAAAAGTATGGTGCATAGACCACACCATGTAGGAATAAATTGGAGGAGGGGAATGAGCCATGCAACAAATGTATCACTCCTGGATTCTCCTTGCTTCACCTAGGGAAGGTTCCTGGCACCCAAGGAAGTTTTAATAGAGCTTGTCATTTCCTAGAAAGCATAACAGGGAAAAAACCCCTATGTTGGTAAGGACAACGCATTCACCAGAGAAGTTTAGAAGGGTTATTGCATCATTCAAACTGTTTTAATAAATTTCATTAAATTAGAATTGTGTAGCCATAGCTTCTGATATTTATGTGTCTCTACCCAGTAACCTATAATATCCCAAGATGGTTTTTGCACTAATACTGAGTGTGTGGATATATGTATATATATGTATGCACTTACCTGGTCCAGTGCTCTCCAGATACAGCCTGGCCACTGTGATACACAAATTCCTGCTCTTCCCTGTGTCTATCATGGGCAAGTTTTTCCTTCCTGGGAAAGGAACAGCCATCAGGTTCCATGCCAAGGGGGGGATGTGTGAAGCAGGAGGGCAGAGCAGAGTGCAGACAGATCTGCACCAGGGCATCACACAAGCTGCCAATGCCTCGCTACAACTTGGCTGACACAGCTGTGCTCCATCTCCTGATCCCATGCTCAGCTGCAAACTGCATCACACCAAAGGCTTACCAGAACCTCAAACCTGAAACCAGTGCTGACAAGACAAAGGTACATCAAGCCCAGAGGAGCCACACCTGACAGACTAAGGTGTGTGCTTTATGTGCTGGCAGAAGGGAGAGGGTATTTCACTTTGGATACTTTTTAACAAAACAACCTTTAGCCAGGTCTACTCATTTACCAGACAAGCAGTCATTCCTGGCCAGCATGTCTCCAAGGAGGAGAGCCCAGGGGAAGGCAGTATTTATACACAGGCTTGTCTGCCTGGAGATGCAAGCTCAACAGGCTCTTCTGTGGTGTCAAAGGAAACATACCTCAGGAAGGAGTTGAGGGAGAAATTGACTTCCCAATTCAAACCCAATTTCAGAGGAGACCTCTCTTGTCCATCTTTCTCCATATCCACACAGAGCCCCTGCTTCAATAGCTAAACATGGGTTGTTTGGTTATGCCTCCATAATTCATTAGTGGCTCAGGACTGATCTCCCACATTAACCATCTGGCTTCTCTCTGCAACACAGTTCCACCCTGAAAGAGCTTTCCATTTCACAAGTGAGACCTTTATTGGTCTAAAAAATAAAACAAGTGCCACTTTTTGAGTTTTCCAGTTATGCCAATTGTCCAGCTGCATCGACTGTGATGTCAGAACACAGCCAGTGACAGAAGGACTTCCACCAAATGTGGGATACTCAGCAGCCTTTCACAGCTATTGGGAATGAAAAGACTACTCTGAATTTAACCTGTGAAAAGAACAGATTTGAAAAACAGTCATTATTACTGTGTTCTCAGGAATGTCAAAGCCTTTGCTGCAGCTTCCTGCAACTCTAAGAAACTGGAACATTCAGCTTGCTCTTACATGCGTGTAAGAACAGTTCATATACAAGAACAGTACATCTATAGTTGTAAAACTATATATCCACCATTTCAATGTAGCTTTGCTGTCTGAAACAGAGCAAGGTAGTTTTGAATGATATAACCTGGTCTATTAGAAAGGTCTAATTTTTTTATTATCATTAATAGTCATTCCTTTAACATATTAGAAAACAAAAATGACATTTCAGCAACAATTCATCATAGTTTATACAGAACCCGTTGATGCATGGTGTCACCTTCCCATTCAAATCCACATCCACCTTCCAGATAAGAGTTTAAGAATTACAGTGCACACTGGACTAAATTCTTTCACAATGTAAGGCACAACTACATGATCACAAGTAGTAAACACAAACACTGAAAGCAGAACTTAAGAGAATAAAACTTCAATTAAAAAGAAATAAAACCAAAACAGACTCATGCAAAAAATCTATCTACACCTACCAAGATGGTATGATCCAGTTTAGAAGTACAGTACTCTGTAAGTAAAACTGCAACATAAGTCTTTTATAATACATTACTTCTAAATATCAAGTAAAAACTTATATTTTTTCCATTTATATTTTATACAATTATACAGAAATTAAGCCATATGAACAATATTCACATCTGCAATAATAAACTGATCATTAAAAGTCAGAAAAGAGGCAAATGAGACCATGTAATTTGTGGCACGCATCCATTACAGAACACCATTCATCAAGTTCACATCTTGAGTACTGAAGGGAAAATCCACGACCAAGTGAATGGTACATTTGGTGACTGAGGCTATCTGTAACCAAACAACAAAGCTCCATACAAAATTGGTTTTACCCAGCAGACCTTAATTATGAAAGCTTGTGGATGTTAATTTATTATTAATTTATTTTCTGTCCAGCAGCTAGTTTGCAAGGTTGAAGCTACAGAAGTTAAAAGAATTTAAGAGAGTTCACAATAACTTGAAACTGTTGGATTATTTCAAATACACATTTAAAAAAAAAAAAACAACTATTTTCCTTTTTGGTGATAAACTTTTGCAATTTTGGCATTCACTATAACTTTTACATAACATGACCGTGAGAAAACCTTATTAAACTTACCTAATGTTTGAATTTCACATTGAGAGGTAGCTTAAATTAAATCTTATGTGATGGCATCAAATGGGGGGGTGCGACTTTTTTTGTAACTTTTTTTTCTTTTCTTACAAAAATGACTATTTCTATACAAGCAGCATTTTGGACATATTACTATAAAAAGTTCTGGTATTTGCTAACCCAGCAAGATGCTCTTTCAAATATCCCTTTTGTGCCAGGAATCAAGCTCCAGCGTGGTACAATGGAGGACTTTGCCATGAAGCCAACAGCAGTGGCCTGGACCTGCCAGTACTGACATGTTGACATTTAACAATGAACATCCTTTCCCAGCCCTCTTTACCCAAAAAAAAAAAGCACAAAATACAGACAAATTTGGTTTTAGGTTAAAGTTTCCATCACAGGGGGAAGGAAAATTGGAAAATGTGCCTTCCATGCTCCTGCTTTCATACAACATTGATCCAAAGGGGTAGCAGGGCTTCATCAGTCTTTAAATGCACAGACACTTCTCTATCCACTGCATAGTGAGTGTGTAGTATGTGGGGAGCTACAAACAATATGCAGAGTTTATTACATAACCTAGTACCTACACTCTTCATTATTGGGAACCTAAGTGGTATCTAACATTCTCTCTAAACATGCAAACTTTTTTATTCAGTGTCCATTTAAAAAGAAACAGAAAAAATACCACAAAACCAAATTTCAATGGCAAGACTTACATGCAATTATAGCTGGTTTTGAAAAGTACATCAATTAGTCCTTTTGGAGTGCCTATGTTGGACAATAGTTTTAAACTCATTCTAAAATGGATGCTGAGGTCAAGACTTCAAAACCAAAGAAACAGACAACTGGCAAGATCCTTGCAAATATGTAAAATTCTTTCTTTTCTCATTTTATAATCTTAAAATTAAGTTCTACAAAGACACGTGTGTGACTAACAAGGTTTTTGTTATATGTGCTCTCAGATGATGTGTTTTTGGTAAAAGGAACTGTGACTGCAGTTCTCCTTAGGGCCAAATGTATACAGTGAAAAATCCAGCTGATTATAAACCTGCTGTCCAATGACTACAGCTAACACATGCAATGCACATGATGCCATTCCACTTACTATAGATTCTCTTAGACAGCAAAAAGTGTACAGCGCAAATGACAGTGTTGTTTCCTAGTTTTCTGAGAATATGAGAGCAGGAGAGGTGGTACCTGGAAGAGTAGTTTATCAGTTTCTACATACTCAAATCATGATATCATTCTTCTTGGCATAGTTTAGAATCTATTTGAACTTCAGGTCCAATATTTTTCTGTCTATCAGAGTACTGGCCATAAGATTTTTAAGTTTTGCAACAAGCATTTGTTTCCACTCCATGGTGAACTGACACTTAATCCAGAAAAGCAGTTGAGTTTTTCAGGTTCCTTTATGAATGTCATTTCTCTTACATCTAGCATGAGAAGCTCAATTGTTCTGGCTCATGTAATACAAACACAGAGAGGTTACTTACTCCATGCTTCTGCTCCCAAATCCCTTCTTGCTTCACTAATAAGAAAGCTTTTCTAGTGAGGGTTCACAAACAACCCTAATGGTCCCAAAGCCAACAAAAGTAGTTACTCATTGTTCCTGTGTACCTTGTGCTCCACACTCCATGGCAACTTGGTTACTTGACACCTTCCAAAAACAGAGGCAAAAACCCACATTTCACCCTACAGTCGTGGACATTTGTGCCAGAGAGTGAATCCAGCTGAAAACTGAGATCCCTCTAAACCTCTTGCCTCTGTTGGAAGCTGCAGCCGAAAATTCCTTTTGTCTCTTCATCTCCAGACAGCAACTTTTCTTACTGTGACTCATTACTTTTATCCTTTTCATTCAACATTTGCAGAAGGAGGAAGATTACATTAGGGAGTACGTGGGGAGAAGAAATAAATAACAGTGAAGGAGAGACAGCTAAGATCAAAAGCCTGCCACTGACCTCTGCAATGCTACCTGTCTCCAGTATGATGTACTGCTGACATGAGGCCAGAGTGGAACAGCAGGATTTGGCATTTGTGGGGCAAAAATCCAAGGGACTGTGAGTCTTTGACTGGGAAAGAGGTGGTGTCTCCAGGAAGTCAAAAGAACTTCTCCCCACCCTTAGTAAGACCATCCTTTACACATTTACAAAAGCTTCTGTAGCTTATCTCTGTCCAGGAAGCAGCTGGTCTCTCACATTCTGCTCCTGCAGCAATTCTGAATGTGGATGGAGTATCCTGCAGATGGCACAGTTTCAAGAACAAAGCCCACTGTCCTATTCCTGATGCCACAGTAATGAGTAGCAATCAAAAGCTGCTTGAGGATCCCACAAACCTACTGGTTTGAGTGCTGGTTTTGCCATCATTTTCACCTCTTCCTCTAAAATGGCCACTCCTCAGGGAATCAGAGCATTCTGCCTATTGCTTGAAGCTGTAAAAACACATAACTATGCATTCTCCAGTTCCAAGAGTCCGTCTCTTCTGCCATTTTATTATTTTTCCCCTCTGTTCCTGTGTCTGCAGTCTGAAAAATCAGTGAATTAAACTGTTTTGCCTGGAATCCTTTTTTTACTGTGGTAATAGTCACCAGGCTTTTTACTTTTTACTTGGTTTTCCAGTTACTTA